TTTGCCACCAATGGTTCTTTCACAGGTGGTTAGCAGAAAGCAGAAAAAGGCAGGTTAATTACCACAGGTAAATCAATCTTGGAGTTTAGTGAATGGGTTGAATTAGTCATGAGTATCATGCGTTTTAGCTTATTAGAGGATGCCTTTGGACTTCTTTTTAGGCCTGGATTCCACTGATTCATCTCGGCTAATCAAACCAGTATAGTACTACAAATTATTTTAAAAACGGTTATAAATACCATGATGTTGTTTAAGTTTTTGCTAAATCTGTTCAAAGTTTTCATCACTTTTTTCATTATCCCTTAATTAGTATCCATGTGAAATTATCTCCATTATCTAAACTCAAGTGCAGGCTTATATCAGCTGTTAAACTTTTTCCGTTTATATTTATAAATTGCCATTCATTGCAGTCTTCTAACAGTTGCTATCTCCGTCAATTGTGCCCTGTGTTTACAGGCTACTAGAATTAGCATCATCATCCTGCATTTATTGCATCCAGCATTCAATGATCTAAGTTTGTTGCTAGATAAGAAAAAGTACGGTACTAATAAATAATGAAAAAAAATTGTTTTCAGATTAACTAGTGGCTATGTTGACCATGAATTGTTATGCACAAGAAATGTAGGTCTGTTTTCTTCCTTATATTGGCATCCGCATTAAATTACCATCCTCATTACCTGCATACCTCTGTCTGCGTACGAATTCACTCTAGTTACCCCTCTCAGTACTCTCCCAAAAATAGAATATCAGGCATAAATAATATCTCAACACGGTAGGTATTGTACATATGGGCGCGGAAGAACCCGCTCCGAAATTCTAATTGCAGCGCCGGGCCTTAAGCAAACACCAATACAGTTTCTAACATTTATACGGATTAAATGAATGCATATGTTCTATGTTTACGTGTTGAATTGCAGCATCATTAGCTGTCGTTTGTAAGAGAAATATTAAGAGCAGAGAATGCTTGTCGTTTTGGGCTCTTTGCCCAAACACACATACTTGTTTTGTCTTACGACGAAGTCCATCACGAATTTCATCCTTCACGGCACGTACAACTCTTAACAATTTATTCCAACGAAATCATTTTCTTTCTTATCAGGTTACTGTGATAACTGTCGAGAGTGGATAGAATCTGAACGGTTCGTATCATGACGACGAAGCGTAGCGAGTAGAGCCACAGCAGCAGCAGCAGTGTCGCTGCAACGCGCCGCAGTCAGCTAGTTCACGACTTCACGGCACAGAGCAGCGACAGTGTACCTACAGCTGTCGGGCGGGGCGGATCGTTGTGCTTGTGCGTGCGCCGCCGCTGCTGCCTACATGTCGATCTAGCGTGCACCGCTAACATATGCATCAGATGCTCAAACAAGTAGCAGCACATTGAATGAACATGAGCGTAGGTGGTGCGGAACATATGGTAATCCCACCACTGAACCAGATATGGACGCGCGGGGACGGAGTTGAGAGCGCGGAGCTGTGATTTGAAAGCCTCCTTTCTTCCCCAACTGTGACGGCGATAAACCAGAAGTCGCTCCCTCCGAGCGCTTGCAATGTTTGTTTCAGATGAACGTGTTCATAGCGCCGGCGTAAAGTACAGTGTAGTTGCGAAGGTTTCAAAGTGATGACACAGCAGTAGGCTGAGGCAACTGCAACATGCCGAGTTAATTCACATGCGTTTCGCTGCATGTGAACGATTCAAAATTGAATCGTTGTTGTGAAATTTTCGGAAATGTTATTTGGTAATTAATAAGTTTTAATGTTATTTTTGGAACTTACGATGCGATTTGTCGTCTGCCTTAGGATTCATCACTTATATTTTCTCATTTTTCTGAATAAGTATTCGTGATGCAATAGTAGTAGATGTTCAACTAGCCGAATCCCAGGATATGGGTGGGAGTAACGGGAGAGCTTTGTAGTGATTGTGCGGTTGCCATCATTCTATTCTGTAGTGCAGGATATTTGTTACTTTAATTGCGATGCACCTCGCCACAAATTTCGAAGGTTAATTTCCAATGTTCCAATCGAAGGTTAATTTCCGGTAGCATGGAACATTGAGAGACTACCATGTCATGGACAATGAAATTAGTTAAGCTAATACTATTGGAATTTATAATCAAGTGTATTAAGGTGTTTACTGTAATGATCGGCATTTCCAACATTCTTTCACGTCGACCGTAGCTCTCGTGCTGACCGATAACCCGGTCAACATGTCGGTCGCTAGCTTATTTATGAACTTGTTCTTAATGACACTTTTTGTGGTGTTCAAATGCCCGAAATTGTTGCTACCGTGATTTGCAAGTCCTGTGGTGCTCGCACGCAAGAAATGCGCTAAATATTCTTTGCGTTAAACTGCACTAAATTAAGCTGATGGATTGTTGTTAGCCTTGAATTCACACTTTTGCCCTTTTTTTTATTGGCTTCCATTGTTCTAGGTGCGCGTAGTAAGTGCCTTCGTATCTTTTCTGACAGCTGCCTTCGATATCGCATCCGGCTTTGATATGGGCACTAGCACACCGCTGAAATTTCCCTCTAAGATTGCAATGTGTAAGGCATAAAGGTCATTCAAAAATTTAAATCCGTCTGGCGAAAACCAATCGTTTGTGTGGTAGCTATGCCTAGATAAGTGAATGAAGAAATCTTCTATATCCTGCCTCTATATTTAACCAGTTGAATGCTGTATTAAATGAACGAGAAGGGACATATTATGCAAACGAGACAGATAACGTAGAGACTGATCATATTCTAAAGCTTTTCACTATCAGATGTTGTAATCAGGGTTAAAAAATCAATTAAATACGGCGGAAATGAGTAGCAGTTCATTGTTGAATGCCAGAAAATTCATATAGGTTCGGACGTGAGTAGAGGCTGTGTAATGTCAAGAGTCTTCCCTCAATTTTGTTACCAAGGTCCGCCTGGTGAAGGGCAGAACTACTGTGTGCTTGACTAATCAGACCTGCGAAGATTTGATTATCTAATTAATCTCTAGAGCGGGGTGACCTTGCAAAAAAAAACTTACGACATCGGTAACGTGTAACTGATGTATAGCTTGAGTTAGGTAGTACTTCTGGCATCATTTGTAGGAATTTCAGAAGAAAAATGTTTGAATCCAAATTAAAGGTGGTAATAAATCAGTTGAACCTCATAGAAGAGTTCAGATCTTTTGTGATGTTTATTTTATACATGCCTTCAAAAATATTTGCGGAACATCGTCAAGAATATATCAATTGTAGAGATAAGCTTATTTAAGGCCATTTATGTCGTTTAAATAGGCTTGAATTGGAACGAAGTTGCCTTCCCCTTGGTTTGAATAATTTTGAATTTGCATTATGTCGTCTAATTGCGTCACCTAAATTTATGCATTATATCACCTAAATATGAATCATGCGATATTCTGTCTAGTCTCGTGTGAAAGGGTTGACATTTTATTCCTTACAATCAGCACATTTAATTGTTTTTTAGAAAAATTTATATCTTTTCAGACATTGTACTTTCCTGAACATTTTTGTCTGAGCCACTATGTGTGTTAGTTCAGAATTTATCGAGAGTTTATTAAGAGAATGTTAATTATTAAATTTATATCACTGATCGTTACGCACTAGCGAACTATTTTTATGAAAATAATTAAATGAATTGTTGAAGTCATTCGCGCTCTTTTATCAAAGCGCGATTTCTGACTGACTGAGGAACGTAAACATTCAAGTTATTGGCGACTCAGCATCGTCTAAACATTGGCTAAGATTACAACTGTGTGTGTAAGCAATCGTTTTAAAGGCTATTGACTTCACGTCGCAAAAAAAACCAGTTACTCGTGACTCGTGTCTAGAGCTACGCTCTATCGGAAAACCTTATGGTGAAATCTCTTGTTACAAGTAATTCTCAGTGATTCTCCAAGCCACGCCGTTCTCTGCCCTCCGTTAGTTCTTGGAATCCTGTCGGTGAATTTATGCGAACTAAATTCCTTCTTGGCGCTGTTACATCAAGATCATGATCGATTATTCCCTCTTTAGCCAGTGCGTTACATAAAGTAATGCACTTCGTATGAATTTTCCTATTTCCAGAGTATGAGTGCATGTGCTGCTCATAGAGCGGCTCAGCTAATATACCCATATCACCGAAGTCAGCTTATCAGCCGATAACTCAGTCTAGCTTTATTGGTCTACCCTATCGAATCGGCCGGGGTTGGTCCACTTCACAAAAGTACTCAATGAGTTCGAGTCGTGGTTCATGCGTTGTCTATGTCTTTAACGTTACTGCGAATATTTTTGCCCGAAAAGGTCAGCAAGTCAGATATGAACCTGTAATGTCACTAATGTGTCATAAAAATCAGTTTCTTCGTGTTTTACTCCCGACGGAGAGATTTTCGTTCGGGCAGAGTTCCAACTGTTGAGTTTCATGTGAGCTTTCGAAACAATGAAATCAGTGGTTCCATATTCCCAGCACAATGGTTACACGTGATCTAGCAAACGCTCTATCAAGCATTATCTCTGAAGGTCTTCATCTTATAACTTTGGCAACTGGTTCGGAAATGAATTTGTGAGCCATGGAAAACAGCTCTAAGGTGGTGCTGGATCTCAATGACGATCGTCTTGAGGCTCCCAACACCTGCCCTGATGTCGCCAGCACAAGATGTGGTGTCAACTCTTCTTCTGTCGTTGACTGCACAAACTCCTCTACCGTAATTAACTCAACTAACAGCTCCATAGAGGCTGCAGTCACAAAGGCAGACGTGATAGCTGAAGAAATATGGTCTAAACCCCCCGCAGCTCGTCTTGCATCGTCGGAGACATTGAGTGACGAACCGAGCATTGGCGCTACCGCTGGTCTCCCCCTTTCCTCTTCTTCCTCTTCTGCTAGTGATAAGGACATGCCGCTGCTCGATGAAAATAAATCAACGAGTCTTAAACGAGAAAAAATGAACACGGGTGCAGCACCATCAACAATTGTCCTGTGCTCTTCCCAACCCGAACGGAAAACGTGCCGAGCCTTCGAACCTCCGTTGTTCTTCCATCGCAGTCGCTTTACGCAGACGGAACGCAATCATATCCTACCTTATCCTAGACTGCAGGACCTGAAATGTGATGTTGATGCAATACCGCCCAGTTCTGTGCCCTCCGCCCAAACAAGTGCCTTATTCTATGATCCTAAATTGATTAGTGACTATACCTTGCTGCCTTCTGGCGACACAACTAAGAACTACGTCAAGGATTTGCTGGATGGAGACAATGGAGGAAAAATTGAACTTGGTCGATCTTATTCCGGTGCTTTAATGAGCGACGGTTTGGTGGATGGGAACAAGGGCGACTTTGCTTCGAAATCCTGCCAGACGGACAGAGATATCAGCGTTAAAGAAGTGCAAACGGACTCGTCGCTGTGTCAAAAAGAGTGCCAAACGGACGAAACACCCGATGTTTCAAGAGCAGGAAAAACTATGCTAAGTCGAGGTCTGAGCGCTGATGCGTGTGAGAGAACTTCAGACCCCAAGTCGAACGTTGCTCGTGTTTCATGTCACCAACGCTCGTGCAGCTCCGACTACTGCCTCAAGCGCTGTCATTCTAAAGACTCCCGCCAAAGACGCCAGCAGTCAAGCGACTTTCTGTACTTCGTCAAAAAAGATCCTAGCCTTGCCTCAAACTTCCCACTCAATTTACGGTTAGACGACACCGGAGAATTGGGGTGGCGTGAGCACAGACGTCAGTTCTCTGCCGTGGAGGTGGTAACTGCAGATGTCATCATCTTAGGCGCGGCATCTGCACAGGACCCCCCTTTGATGGTGCCCTCGAGTCCTCCTGACGAAGCGCCTCCACCTAGTAGAGGATGTTCTTTCGTAAGTGATAGCACCAACAAGGTAACGTATCTTCTCGTGTGCTGGGGTTTACATGATGGTAAAGCAGTTAGGTCGTTTTCTTTACTCGAATCGATCAGCTCAAGAGCTGGGCTGATAGATTTTCGCTTCCTAAGCAATAACCATACGTACTGATCACTTTCAAGTTTCATAGAAATTTTCTTACGGTTTACTTAACCACTGTCTTCTTTGTTCGAACACTGTTTGGTTGCCTCTAAATGCTTCAATGCCCCGAAGCATTGTCCATTCATGCTCGGGAGAAAATGGGTTTGATGGCTTACGCGGTCCAATTTAATGTTTTTGCAAGTACATCGTGCGTGTCGCAATATTCTTGGTGGAGGTATAATAACGTTTGCTAGGATTCACCTTGTGCCAATATCTTCTCTTCGCCTAATATGGGAGCTAGGTACTCATCAACGCGCAGTTGATAAACAGTTCGCAGAATTTTTTTGGTATACTATTATATTCTATTGCGACATGTGTCATGGTCAGTCCTCGGATCTGCATGTACCATCTACAATGATGGAATATTACGGAGGTTCTAGTATGAATGTAGAGTCTCAACTTGGACTCTGATGCTGCTTGCCATTGTTGGCTTCTGGCTATGTTTGCTCATGAATGAGGCTTTGATGTCGTTTGAATGTGCACGCCCTTCCACACTGCATACGTTGCGTGCGAGCACGTGCACCCACTGCATGTGTGCGCACGTGCACTCACTGCACGGGTGTATGCGCAGATGCTCCCACTGCACGGGTGTATGCGCCCACTGCATGTATGCGCAGATGCTAAGCGTCGTGGCGCAGACTGCCGTACTAGCGCTGCTCATGAGGAACCTGTCCTGCAAGCGCGTCATCATCGTCAGTTGCGGGGCATTGCATGCCTGGCTGCTTATATTGGCTGCCAAGCGGCTTATATTGGTTGCCGAGCAGCTTATATTGGCTGTCGAGCAGCTTATATCGGCTGTCGAGCAGCTCATACTGGCTGTCAAGCAGCTTATATGGGCAGTCGAGCAGCTTATATTGGCTGTCGAGCAGCTTATATTGGCTGTCAAGCAGCTTATATTGGCTGTCAAGCAGCTTATATTGGCTGTCAAGCAGCTTATATTGGCTGTCAAGCAGCTTATATTGGCTGTCGAGCAGCTTATATCGGCTGTCAAGCAGCTTATGTCGAGTCTCTTGTAATTGATGCCTGTCTGTAACAATATTTAAATGCGGATGAATGTTGAAGCTTGAAGCCTTTACTATGCTGTAATTTAATTGTCTCTGGTGCCGCAGGTGGGGCTGGTGTTTGAGATGCTGCAGCTGATGTGGTACGGCTTCGGCAGCCAAACGTGGATGATGTGGGCGGCAGGCCTTCTGGCCGCCATGTCCTCCATCACTTACCCCGCCATCAGCGCCTACGTCTCCATGCACACAGACGTCGACAAACAAGGCACATAGATCAAAATATTACCACTTTATTCGGTCATAAAACTATAAGTTCCATTAGTTCCTTTCAAAATACTGCAGGTTAAAACATAGCAAAATAAGCATGAATCCAAAATTCAGAGAAGAAATTTATCATTACAATCGTATCATGAAACTCGATTGGATTTCAGAAGAGCTGAGTTGTGTTGCTTGATTTCACTTCACGAATAATTTTCCAATGATTCTCTCCTTTTTGACTTTTATTTATCAAGAAATTAACAATAGACGATTTGTGTTGTATTTATCTGCGTAATATTGTTTTTCCATATATGTTGCATAGATGTTATATGAAATGAAACGATATATGAAATATGATACCTATAACAAATAGTTTTAATCTAACTAACAAATTATTTGAACTTTGCAGGCGTGGTTCAGGGCATCGTGACGGGGATGCGGGGTCTATGCTCAGGTCTGGGCCCTGCCATGTTTGGAGTGATCTTCTATCTCTTCCATGTGGACCTCTCTGAGACGCCCACAGAGCGACACACCAGCGCTCCTGTTAGTTCTTCATCTATTATGCGCTTCCATTATCTTGGTTAAATTCCTTCCTCTGCTCCTTGCACTTGCATTATCTTAGTTTATTTCCTTCCTCTGCTCCTTGCGCTTGCGTTATCAAGTTTACCATCGCTGGGCTTTTATCTTGCCATGTTTATTGATTTTGCGGGAGGATACTCATTATTCATTTATCATCTGAGTATACATCTTTAGAGGCTCCATCTGAGAGGCTCCAAATCAACTCTTGGCTTCTTATTTAAATTATCGCCAAAACATTGCAGGTAGTGCTGAGGGTTAATACGAAATAATTATTGGACTCCTTGTGTAATTATTTGACAAAAAAATTGCTCAGGTACTGATGCAATGTAATTTTGACAGTTTTTGGATAGACTTGAACTGTGTCATCACAATTATCAGGTAACCCTGACAGCTTGTCACTCCAGATATCAGGTAACCTTTATTGCTTGTCACTCAATATATCAGGTAACCTTTACTACCTGGCCCCACAGTTATCAGGTAACCTTTACTACCTGGCCCCACAGTTATCAGGTAACCTTTACTACCTGGCCCCACAGTTATCAGGTAACCTTAACTACCTCTGTCTCTTATACACATCTAGATGGCAGATGCTTCCACTGCACGGGTGGATGCGCCCACTGCATGTATGCGCAGATGCTCCCACTGCACGGGTGTATGCGCCCACTGCAATGTATGCGCAGATGCTTCCACTGCGCGGGTGGATGCGCCCACTGCATGTATGCGCTGGTGCTCCCACTGCATACGTTTGTGCGAGCCCCCGTCGATGGCATTTAGACTTTGCCAAAGCCTTTGACGAAGTTGATCACGAACTGCTCTTCCGAAACCCTGAACTAATGGAAGCCGGGGGATAGTTGTCGACCTGGCTCTACAACTACCTGACAGCTTACAATCTGTCTTGTTAGGGTTGTAAGATCAAGCGAGGCCAGGGTGATGTGTGGAGTGCCACAGAAGACGGTTTTTGGTCCGACTCTCTTCAACATTCACAGCGGGCTCAGGCGTAGATGTTAATCACGCCCCTCTACTTTATCATTTGCGGACGACATTAGAGTGACACGGATAAGGGAGCATTGCAATAGGATGCAAAACGATCTTTCTGCAATACATGACTGGGCCCAAGTAACAATCATGCATTCATACCGAACCAAGCTTGAAATACTGAGATACAAAGATGGTGCGCAAGTCGGGATGGGACGCAGTTTAGGGGATGAGTACGCAGATGAGTACTATAGTCTCGTTTGATGACAGTATCTTTATACCAACTTCCGTCTACGCGTGCTAACTATCAACTTTAGTCCCTGCAGTACGTCAACTTTAGTCCCTGCAGTACGTCAACTTTTGGCCCTGCAGTACGTCAACTTTAGTCCATGCAGTACGTCAACTTTAGTCCATGCAGTACGTCAACTTTTGACCCTGCAGTACGTCAACTTTAGACCCTGCAGTACGTCAACTTTAGAATCTGCAGTACGTCAACTTTAGACTCTGCAGTACGTCAACTTTAGACCCTGCAGTACGTCAACTTTAGACCCTGCAGTCCGTCAACTTTAGTCCCTGCAGTACGTCAACTTTAGACCCTGCAGTACGTAACTTTAGACCCTGCAGTACGTCAACTTTAGTCCCTGCAGTACGTCAACTTTAGACCCTGCAGTACGTCAACTTAAGACCCTCAGTACGTCAACTTCAGACCCTGCATTTCAACTGCTGTCTGCGCGTGTCAATTGCGCTTTGCGCGAGTGCCTTTTCGTGTTATCTGCAGTCTGCTTTACTGTGTGAGCGTGTCAACCGCAGTCTGTACGCCTGAACTACAGTCTGCACCAGTCACTCTTTAATACGTCATCGCTGACATATGAGACGCAGAGCTCGCATTACCTATTTAAATACAGCTATATAGCCATCTTCATATGAGAGCCTACGTATCGTATCCATGATGTCAGACGTCGCGTAGTGTTCCAACAACAGTCTACACTTCTCTGATCGCACATCTTCTCGAGTTATTGAGATTTCATATCTTATCATGGATATGCGAGTAAACTTATTATTCAACTGAAGACTGAATAATGTTCAGTATTAAACTGAAAACTGAACATTAGGTGCAATTTTAACTACTGTTGAAAATTCCGCTTACTTTATTTGTGAGAAGCTAGTCGATATCGAGATTTCCTTAAAAACTGCTCTTCTTATGGGCGAAAGTTTCATATCGGGGCTTGAAATTATATGGAAAAAGTATGTATAAAATTTATACGTTAGCTTTACTGCAGGGAAAATTTTCATTGGAGAACACCCTTGGGGTGAACCAACCTCATCGCTAGAAAAATATTTAAACAAGCCTCTTAATATTTGCTGTACCACAATTCATTTCATGGAGTTGATTTCGCTCATTTTCTGATCGAAGTTGCTTCTTTGAGGACATTTTTGCTTACAAAACATACGAGTGCTGTGGTGAGGTTTGATGTGATTGCGTATGAAACTACCTAAGTGATTTTAATTCAAGTCTGTAAAATTTAAAGAACTCATCACTTTGCAAAATACTCATAGAATTATTGCATTTTTAGTACCGATATATTCTGCTCCATCGGTTTCATGGAAAATTTATGTCGGTTTCATTCCTTTGTTTATTCAGAGCAAAATTGTCAAACTACCTTTGCAATAGTTTTTATTGTAGAGCAATATACCTAATAAAATTATCTGTATATGTACATTGTATGGTATACGCCTTACATTATTGCTCGTATCATAACCGGAATTTAAGTTCCGTATATATCTAGTGATTTTGTACAAGCACTTGCCCGGGAGAACTTATTGCTATATAAGTTCACATCAGCAACCATTGGTGGCTTAAGCTGAGCCGAATGTTCATATTTTATGGGCATTTTTATTTTGATTTATTCATCTTTCTGAAATATTTTGTGAAATTACATTATTAATTGTCATTCATAATGCCTAGAAACGGATCACTGTTTCTACAAGATGTCGTGGTTCTACTAATTCAGAATCATGAGAATCCAGTATGTGCCGTAAAAATCAATTGAGGAAAAGCAGCGATGTTGTGTATAATGAAGCAATCATGTAATAATGTTGTAATGGTGCAGCAATCATGTAATAATGTTGTAATGGTGTAGCAATCGTGTAATAATCTTGTAATGGTGCAGCAATAATGTAATAATGTTATAATAGTGCAACAATATTGTAATGATGTTGTAATGGTGCAGCAATCATGTAATTATGTCGTAATGTTGCAACAATCATGTAATAATGTTGTAAATTGTAACGGTGCAGCAATCATGTAATAATGTTTTAATGGTTCAGCAATCATGTAATTATGTCGTAATGGTGCAGCAATCATGTAATTATGTCGTAATGGTGCAGCAATCATGTAATAATGTTGTAATGGTTCAACAATCATGTTGTAATGGTGCAGCAATCATGTAATATAATGCAATGATGCGGTACTCACGTAATTATGTCGTAATTATGCATTACTCATGCTATAATCCTATGTTTTGTGTACCCCGCAGAGCTCTGGCATCGGCGAGGCGAGTCTGTACCACGCGCTGGTTGTGATCTTCCTGGAGTTCTTCGCGTGGGGGCTACTCACCTCGCCCATGATTGATGTGAGCACAACAGCGGTGCATGGCTACAGCCGTTAGGGCAGTCAGGGGGTGACTAGTGACTGGGAGTCGTGACTAGTGCAGTCAGGTGGTGACTAGTGCAGTCAGGTCGTGCATGACTACATCCATTAGGGCAGTCAGGTCTTGCATGACTACGTCCATTAGGGCAGTCAGGTGGTGACTAGTGAGTGGGAGTCATGACCAGTGCGGTCAGATGGTGACTAGTGAGTGGGAGTCATGACCAGTGCGGTCAGATGGTGACTAGTGAGTAGGAGGAGTGACCAGTGCAGTCAGATGGTGACTAGTGAGTAGGAGTGACCAGTGCAGTCAGATGGTGACTAGTGAGTAGGAGGAGTGACCAGTGCAGTCAGATGGTGACTAGTGAGTGCACTGTTAGTCGGAAAAACGGTCTGACCGACGTTTTGGGACTTTTTGGGAAATTAACATATGAAACCCGAATAATCATGCTCGAATTTCAACGGGACAGCTTGCCATTACAACGCCAGTTTGACCGTTTTTTCGTACAGTGAGAGTCGAGAATAGTGAGTGAAAATCGGGATCTGTGCCGTGCGCAGTGCTAATCGTATCAAATGGCCTGATAACAAGAGTTTCATTCAGTAGACAAAGGTTTATAAGAGAACATAGCGAAACCCTTACGAAACTTTGATTCAATTTGTTCCGCTCCTTCCACGACGACTATAGGTTAGATTTAAACAATTCCTTCAGCCTACCATTATAGGAGAAACAAACTTCTTCCGTTGCATCGCCTATACGCAATAAGTGTTCTTTTTTCGCGCTAAGATTCCACAAGATCGCATGTCCCGCTCTACTGCACTTACCCTAGTTTCAAAACAGTTTATTTAGATGAGAAACCAGTCCAGTGTTACATAAAATACTAATGATGCGATGGGTTAGACTTAGCTTGGGTCTAGTTATTATATTTATATTATTATAATGATGTTAAGAGTTCACGTGCAGTTGTGTTTTATCGCAAATTCCTTTCCATTGCAGGTGTTGAATCTGACTTTCCCCAACCACACATTCCTGATGAACGGTCTCATCATGGGGATCAAAGTGAGTAATGTTCAGTAATGTTGCCCATTATTAGCCATCATTCAGGCCTGGTGTGTAATGCGTGTTAGTGACGTGAATGGGAAAGAATTTCGTATTATTCAGTCCCTTGGAATTTGCTCGGCCTCACCGCGTCCCCTGCAGCGCTCGGTCTCACCGCGTCCCCTGCAGCGCCCNGAGATATTAGTCAATTTAGCTGTCGTTAACATTTATTTACACACAACTCAAATGCGTTTACTTTACTTAAGTTGTGGCTGCTGACAATGGCGGAATTCACTTGATGGATTAGCACCTACACTGATGCGCAGTTCTATTATAGCGACGGCAAAGCTGCGCTTTTATTAGGAAGAAGTTATTTGCTCTGCATCGCTGCCACATATAATGCTCGTTTTTTCTCCTCGCACATCTCATGTCCCTTTCCTATTCACACGTTTCATTATGTTCCTTTCCCGCTTCCTATGTCTCATTTCTCATTCGCATTAAGATATCTTCATATTCTTTCACTAGTATATATCTCATTCGTTATAGTATTCCTTATTACTCATATAGTTATGTCCTATACGGTTTAAAATGTTCTATTGGCCGGGCTGGCTTTCGTGTTGAGAAATATGTCACCTATCCGCAAAGAAGCTCATTTCCACAATTTACTGCCCGTTTAACGCGAATTTTTTGATCGAATTGGCTTCGAAATCTTCACAAATCTCCTCAAGTGGTCTCCAGGTGTTGACCTGAAGACGAAAATAAAACCAAAATCGCCAGTCATTTATCAGCAAATTTCGGCTCAAAATCGTCGTCAAGAGGATAAGAATCTGCCGAAGCTGAGCAGCTGAAAGTGCAACGATCAAGTTCCTCATTCGCTTAAAGGTCAATCCAACGACGAGACAAATGAGCTGCTTTACTCTAGACAGTGCTTTTCGTGCCCTGAAAATCTTATTTTAGGTCTATGTAAAAATTAAGTGAATCTTCTTCAGTGGTACGTCGATCTCAAGCTGTACAGTAATGCAAGATTAGTTTTTATTCCTGTCAGACAGCATAATTTTACAGCGTTATCTTTTTTTTACAGCGTTATCTTGGAATAATTTTACGGCGTTATTTTTTATAAATTTTTACAGCGTTATCTTTTAAGAATTTTACAGCGTTATCGTTTTGGCATCTTTGCAATTCGTCAAGAGTTGAAATTGACGTGTCAATTCAGGGTTAAATAAATGAAATTCCTAGTTAAATGAAATGTCGAATTGCTAGAGAGACAGCGATATCGTATCGTAATTTGCCCATCGGATATTGTGCACAGTCGATGAATAACGCTGTCACGGATGAATGCAGAACGGCTCGCCACGACGTCAACTTTAAAAGAGAATGAGATGCATAGATGATGTGATGGTATTCATCACAGCGGCTTCTCTTCTGGTCCATAACGATCCAACAATTCACCATTGTAGCACAATTGAGCTTCACCGAAAATCTTCCTCCAACAACGAAGGCAATTCATGAATATTTCGAGGCCAAACAGCCACAAGATCTTTTGTCGATCAATGTGTCTCACAGTCGCCGATCAACAAATCGATTACTTTTTTCATTTAGTCTTTTTATATATGATGCCATATGAACGCTTCATTAATACGGTTACTAAAACCATTTATTCGGTTACTCCAGATAATTTAGTAACTTAGATCTCCCATGTCATTACGATGCCTTAGAAGCTTTTTATTAGACCCCAGTAACTACTCACTATCTATCAGCAATATGTTAACCCGCTCAATGCCCACGCCACCAATCGCTTGGCTCACTTCAGAGTCGTTTGTCGTTCAGATTGCTTGATCGCTTCTCCGTATAGACGCGCTTGAATGAACTTCATTTAGGCATGTATAGCGTCATCGAGTTATCGAACATGTCGACAGCAAGGGGTTTGCTGACGCACAAAGACTGTTACGAAGGACCTTGCTCTTCAAGCGGTGCCTGGATACAGGGGAGGAGGTTGATCATTATAGGAGGTGCTCTGTTGCCGTGTTTGGCACATTAATTATAATGCTGCTTGGTAGGTTCGAGGTCAGGGTGAAGTTGTCATGTATGGGTGCATTGTGACGTTGCTTTGTTTTGTTTGGCTTAGTTCTGTAGTGAACGTAAGTACTTACGCTCTATTTTCTTGTCTATGATTGGTGAATTTTGCTTGAAATGCCGTCAATGATTGGCTGATGAACTTACGATCACTTAACTTTTTTTGAAAGTATAGGCCCTGATTTATAATTTTGAGTTATGTTGAAAAATTTGTATATATTTTGTCGTTAGTGACGGTCGTTACTTGTCATGGTGATCAGAGAAGCTTGAACTCGCAGGTATCAGCGATTAACAGGACTTTTCAGCGGTTCCTATTGGAATGATCTAGCAGGACGCGATTGCCACGTTGCTCTTAAAAGACTGCCAAAACGCCAGACATTTCTTCGATGCTTAGGCCTCTTCAAATGCCATCCAGGACACGAAAGTAATCTTTCTCTCCAACTAACTTCAGCAACATGAGCACACGCGAATCCGCTGTAACTTTCTTCTTCATATGTTAAGCCCTTATTAAATAATTGACAGGGCTTCTGCCCTCGGTTCAATATTGCTGACGTGCTTAACAAATGTTGTTATTCGAGGACCTGTCACTTGTTAGCGGAATGGCGTGGCCTTGAATTGATCGAGCTNTGTGGGTATGCGGTATGGGGTCTGAGCATGCGGGGAGTATACTTGCAGATGCGCGTGTGGTGTACGTACATTCAATTGCTCACGCCTATATAAGGCATCAGTGACTGCTACGACGTGCAAATAAAGCAATTTTTTACTTAGCAACTCCAGTATCTCCCCACGCATTTCAGCTCAACACGCGCATCTCTCTTTAACGCTCACACTGAACTTTAACTCCCACAATTCTCCTCTACCCCCGCACTTCCTTTCAACCCGACCCCGTCTTCCAGCCCCTTTAATTCTCATTACTCTACCTCCATAATGAAACTATATACATTAGAAACTTCGGTGTTAGTTCGTTAACGAGCTTTGTTTCCAACGTAGCCCGGCTGGAAAACAGTGTACATCTTTTCCTGATATTATTTTATAATCAATTTCCACTTTAAAATGAAAATAACCCGAATAAACCTGAACCCATCTACCGTCTTCAAGATTACGAGAATAACTTTCGGAAGGCTGGATCTATGACCATATCAAGCGTCAGCACATGGAATGTTGATATTTAGTCATTTGAATTACTGGCAAGTTGACCGAGTAGTCCCTGGTGTTTGCAGTGCCCTGTATGATAACCATAACTATTATCTCTAGTAGAAATGAGCGAGACTTCGTCCAAATAGCGATTTACTTTTTACTCTTGCACGTGTCACCCTAACCCTGTTTGGCCTGACTAAAATGTGAATTAATGCTCCTATTAAGACAACATAATCCATTGATTTTTTTAGTTATCCTAGTCGCCCTCTGACCCCATGTGCCCTCTTTTAGCCCATGGTAGTTGACCTCACTTCAGCCCCTCGAGTGAACAGCACACAGAGAGAGGACTTCCTTACCCCTATCACTGCACTGAGTTTTGTTAATTACGTGGATCGTTGTAGCTGCCCTTGCTGGGGGATACGCTTCCATGCACAGCGCAAACATGCCTCGGCTAATTAGAGTACCTATAGTTGCAATGAATTTATTGTCTCACCCTTCTTCTATCATATTATGTATTTACTCAAAGTTTCATTTACTGGATAAGCTATTACTGATTTAAATCTACAATTTATTTCTCCTTCTGCCCAAACACTAACTGAACAGACTCTTATAATTTTCTAAAACTCTAAGTCTAGATATAAGCCACAGGAATCATCTGTCTGCATAGGTACTTTATTACGAATAAATTATAGAATTGTTAGCAATATTCGTTATTGTGTTTGTTTCAATATTGTTAATGAGATGATGTACTGCTAGGTTGCTAACGTTGCTGTCACTCTTGCAGGGGATCCTCTCGTTCCTATCTGCACCTCTGATAGGCGCTCTCAGTGACGTCTGGGGGCGCAAGTTCTTCCTGCTGGTGACGGTCTTCTTCACCTGCCTGCCCATCCCCTTCATGAAGATCAACACCTGGTCAGCCCCCTACATTTATGTTGTAATTAAATACCAATTTAACGCAATAAGCACAAGTCTAGTGCTTAGTCATTTCATCCGTTCCCATCCTTTCGCGTGTCTATTTATTTTTCGCTTGCTATTAATCATATGTGTGACGTGCCCTCAAAATTAGTTTGAACCAGACGCCACGATAAATGCTTCGTAGAATAATAATAATCATAATAATTGACCTTAATATACTTCTACATCCTGTGAACGAAACGATTAAGAGTTGTTAACCCTCCACGTGTGCCGCAGGTGGTACTTCGCCCTCATCAGCATGTCGGGGGTGTTCGCCGTGACGTTCAGCATCGTCTTCGCGTATGTGGCCGACGTGACGGACAAGGACGAGCGCAGCTACGCCTATGGCCTCGTCAGCGCCACTTTCGCCGCCTCTCTCGTCACGTCGCCGGCCCTGGGGGCGTACCTTGGCTCGGTGAGCAAAAGGAGTGACATGAAGCATGAATTAGGGCGTGAATTCTGACGTGTTTATGCTGGTCAGATGGCTTATGGATTTTGTGGTAGTCTTATGGCGTTTGGAACCTTGTACCTGAGGGTCCACCCTCAGAATTCGCGATGTCCAACTGCGGGACTTGGTTGTATGGTCAAGTTTTCATGTAGGCTGTTTATGGCGGGACATAAGACTGAGACATAACTGTTTGCGGGACATAAATGTTTATGGCGGGACATAAGACTGAGACATAACTGTTTGCGGGACATAAATGTTTATGGCGGGACATACGGCTGTTATTAAGGGCACAATTGATGGGTTTGTCAGGGAGTTAAGCTAAATTCCCGCCTCCTCCCTCAGGTACACAGTGACGACCTGGTGGTGGGGGTGGCAACGGCCATCGCGGTGCTGGACGTCTTCTTCATCCTCGTGGCGGTGCCCGAGAGCCTGCCGGAGAAGCTGCGCATCTCGTCCTCCTGGTCCGCCGCCAACATATCCTGGGAGAACGCCGACCCTTTCTCTGTTAGTGGCTCCCTCCGACAACGCTCTTATTGACAGCGTTCCTGAGGCTGAGGGCTGTTGACCACACGTGTTGGTGCTCCCTTCGGTCTATATTTTGAAGGCTGAGGGTAGTTGACCGCGCGTGTTGGTGCTTCCTTCGGTCTATGTTTTGAAGGCTGAGGGTAGTTGACCGCGCATGTTGGCGCTTCCTTCGGTCTATATTTTGAAGGCTGAGGGTAGTTGACCGCGCGTGTTGGTGCTTCCTTCGGTCTATATTTTGAAGGCTGAGGGTAGTTGACCGCGCATGTTGGCGCTTCCTTCGATCTACGTTTCGAAGGCCGAGGGTTGTTGACCGCGCGTGTTGGTGCTTCCTTCGGTCTATGTTCTGGAGGCCGAGGGTTGTTGACCGCTCGTGTTGGTGCTTCCTTTTTGCTACTTTTGTAGGCCGAGGATAATTTACAGTTCGTGTTGCTGGCTTTCTCCGCCAATGTTTCTTGGGTTCGAAAGCAGTTGGAGACTGAGTCACATCCGATGCACAGAGCTGAACAAAACCAAAGGCTATTCTGTACCATTCCTCACCCATGAATCAGTGTCGAACTTGTGACAGTTGTGTACGGCACGAAATTATTCATGCATCATGCTTCAAGTTAATTCCTATATAACAAGAAATATGAGCATCTCTCCCTCATATTCCTCCTCCTCCATACCTTTCCTTTACCGTATCCTTCTTCAGTATTTTTTTCCTTCACTATTCATGTTCTTTCTTATTCTCCTCTTCCTCTTGGAAGGAAATTTGAACTTTATAAAAAATTCCACTGTGTACACTTGAGATTGATACCTACAAATACCAAACTCACTTCCCAGAAATTTTGATGCCGAGTAACTGTGAGGTAGGAAGCAAATATACAGGTTGATGC